CTGCTTCTTGGCAGGGGGTTGGACTGGATGGCCCATGAGGTCTCTTCCAACCCTTTGATTCTATGATTCTAATATGTGGCATAATGTAAAATAAACCACATATAGTTCACATTTGATCAGCCCACACACTGCCTTGCCAGAGAAAGAAAATATGCCACACAGATTAACAATAAAGAACAAGTAGTTTACTCTTCTTAATTCAGAACAGCATATGTACAATGTGATCAGTTGCATCAACTCACATAATGTCCTTTTATGAGAGAGTTAAGATAGCCTTTCTTTTGTCCATGTGGATAAACTCCTTCAGCAGTTAATGAAGCAAGAGCACACTCCAAAATCTGTTTCTCTCTGCTTCTCTCATCAAACTCTCTCTCTCTGCACTTGCATAGGTCAAGCCTGAACAAAAACGAACAGTATCCAAAAGTCCCAGGCTTAGTCATCTCCTTGGGCATTGCCCAACCAATCAGCTTCATGCATCTTATTTTGCAGTTCACACACACACACACACACACACACACACACACACACACACTGATTCCTTGCATGCTCCAACATAATGGATATGCAAAAGAAGGAATTTCTGCAGGTGAAACAAACAAGTTTCTTCTTGAAGGAAACAATAGCACTTTTGTTTTCTGCACAAAACCATTGTTTTCCATGCAAAAGCAAACATAAGTGAATTTTCACAGTATAGACTCTCAATTAAAGCAGTTTCTTCTGTGCATAAAATAGCATTTTCTCATAATGTGCAAAAACCACTGATTTCTACACATTCTACTACATGAAAAGTTTCCTTCCACGCTTTTGAGAAAGTAGACTGGTCTTCAAAAGCTCATACTATGAACTTCTTTCTGTTAGTTTCTATTGTGCTACGGGATCCATCTGCATACTGATACTCCAGGCTAACATGGATAGGTCTTTGAACTGAAAAACTTGGTTTTGTACCATTTTTGGAATATGTTTGAATATTATTTCAATCTCTTTCTGCTGCAATCTCCTCTTCTACATAACCACTAAAATTATGAGATTGCTCTCCAGTTTTCATTCTGGCAGAGTTCATCCTTGCTCTCACCCTTGCTTACCTGCTTTTGCCTGTGAAGTCTTTGGGTGCATCTGCACTGTAGAATGAATGTACTTCAACACCTCGTTAACTGCCATGGCTCAATGCTCTGGAATCATGGGACTTGTAGCCGTACAAAGTTTTTAGTCTTTTCAGCTAAAAAAACTACAACTCCCATGATTCCACAGCATTGATCATGTCTGTTTGAACCAGAATTAGGACTGCCGGAGTTAAAGCTGGAAAGAGCCCCTCTGCTTTTAATGGCTGCTTGTTGCTTGTTACGTGGTTATGTGAGAACAACACCTGCTGAAATTTTCCTTTCCACACAACTTCCATATTCAGTGTAGAAGAGCCCCTTCGATTTTCCAACATGATAACCCCAGCAAAAGTTTATTTTATTTGAAGACTGTTCGGAAGCTCCAATTGGTCCAATGGGTGGCAGCCAGATTGCTGGAGCGAGACACAGAGATCATACAACTACATCAGTTCCACTGGCTGCCAGTCTGCTACTGAGCACAATTCAAAGTGCTGACTTTAGCCTATAAAGCCCTAAACAATTCTGGCCCAGTTTACCAGTCCAAATGTATCTCCCTTTATGAACCATTGTGGAGGTTAGAATCATCCGGGGAGGCCCTGCTCTCGGTTCCATCTCCTTAGCAAGTGCAACTGGTGGGGATGAGAGACACGGCCTTCTTAGTGGTGGCCCCTCGGCTATGGAACTCCCTCCCCACCAAATTAGATCTGTGCCCTCCCTTTTAGTCTTCAGAAAGAAAGTACAGAAATTGATGTGGGACCAAGCCTCTGGGTCCCACACCCTTATGTGTAATTCACTTTTGGAAAGGCCTAGGACTTGGCCTATTTATTTACTTATTTAGGGTATTTATATCCCATCCTATCTCACCTGCACAGAGGGACTCAGGGCAGCTAACAACTGGCACAGCATAGTGCCCACAATAAGAAAAGCATAAATATACATAATATAATAAAAACAGTATGAAAACAATACAAAAACATTACATACAACGCTGAATTCAGTCATAATCCTAAAAGCAGTCAATCAAAGTCCATTAAAACTTTAACTTTGCCAGCAAGTCAGTCTAGTCCACAAAGGCCTGATACCACAGCCAGGATTTCACTTTTTTTTTGGAAGGACAGGAGAGATGAAGCAGATCTGATTTCATTTGGGAGGGAATTCCATAGCCAAGGGGCCACCACGGAGAAGACCCTTGGCTTCTGAATTATGTGATTTCAATGTTTTATATTGTTTTAATTTCATGTTTAAATGTCTAGATGTTGTTTTTCTATTTAATATAGTTTAATTTAATTTATAGTTATAAGTTACAGTTGTTTTATAATAGGTTTTTTTAATACATTTTAAGGCATTAAAATTTTTCTGTGAACATGTTGGACATCACTTTGAGTCCCCGTGGGGGAGAAAAGTGGTATATAAATGAGGTAAATAACATAAATAAGTAATAATTTGGAATATTTCTTTCCCTGATAACTTACATGTATATCACATAATGGTTTGAGATATATATATATTTAATTGCAGGACATCATAATGCAAATTAAGAGAAAAACTGATTATTGGATTGGCCTGAAAAGAAAGGACGGGCAGCCCTGGGAATGGACAAATGGAACTGTCTTCAACGGCTGGTAAGGTTTTCCAAATCACCAAAATGGAGGCAGCAGTAAAAAATAATAAATAAATAAATAAATAAATAAATAATAACCTACAGAAATTAATCTTTCATTCTTTTATTCTCCAGGTTCTTGAGTGGTTGCTTTTAAACCTATCTTTGGTTATTTATTTCAGCTTTAGATTGGTGTGCCAGAATTCCTGATCTGGTAACTCACATATAGCACGGTACATGGGCTGCTGTAAATAATTTTAGAGGAAAGACTTCAGCATTCCCATTTAAAAAAATAAAGAGATCCTGCTTGCCCAGTTTCCCTTATTATAAGACATACAATTTGCAGAGTTCTTTGTTTGTGTTTTCCTTTATGGCAAAGGTTGGCCCTTTTGGTCCCTTTCAACTACATCTTAATCTGTTTCTATCAGTTTTCGTACAACATAAATAAGGAGCCCATTGGTAATATCACGCGGACCATAACAAAGGAACTTCACTTCTGTTATCCTCTCATTGCAGGTTTGAAATTAAAGCGGATGGATTTTGTGCCTATTTGGATGATGACAGGGTCGGTTCAACATTATGCGGGACAAAACGAAATTGGATTTGTAGCAAGTCAACTAATGTGGCCTGAACAAGTTACTATATATAATGTCTAAGTCTAGAAACAATATGCATAGACATACAGATACAAATTACATGTATGAACAGACAAAGACCACTTGTGTGTTATAAACGACCATACCTTGGGAAGTCTGACTTGGCCACGGTAGTCCACGCTCTGGTTACATCCCGCTTAGACTACTGCAACGCTCTCTACGTGGGGTTGCCCTTGAAGACTTCTCGGAAGCTTCAAATGGTCCAATGTTCGGCAGCCAGGTTGCTAACAGGAGCGGCACTCAGGGAGCACACCACTCCTCTGTTGCGCCAGCTCCACTGGCTGCCAATCTGCTACCGGGCACAATTCAAAGTGCTGGCTTTAGCCTATAAAGCCCTAAACGGTTCTGGCCCTACTTACCTCTCCGAACGCATCTCCACCTATGAACCGACTAGGACATTAAGATCGTCTGAGGAGGCCCTGCTCTCGATCCCGCCGCATCGCAGGCGCAGTTGGCGGGGACGAGAGACAGGGCCTTCTCAGGCATCGTTTCAGAATTGATGAAGACCTTGGCAGTTCTCCCAGTTCCCTGGCCATAGTTTGGGAAGATTTCTAGGATATCAAGTACGGTTAGTGGATTGCTAACAGATTCCAGTATTTCCCAGTGAGGCTTTTGGTTTTGCTTTGTCCATTTAAATTCATGTTTGCGGAATTTGCTGTGGCTTTTGACTTGCATTTTTCCTTTATTTTGTAACCATTTTTCTTCAATAAAAAAGGATTGTTTTTCACAGCCAAGTGTGGTGGATAGTTATCTTAGGGCCTCGTTCCCTGCTCTGGATTGCAACAGATTTGATATGTTTTGTATAATGTGTTTTAACTGCTTTTTGATGTTGTTGTGTGAACCTTTACCATGTAAACCGCCTTTTGGCTGAGAAAGGCGGTATAGAAGTAAATCAAATAAATAATAAATAATAAATAAAAGCTTGTGTGTTATAAAAGTTCAATTTTTTAGAGCAGGGGTCCTCAAACTTATTAAACAGAGGGCCAGGTCACAGTCTCTCAAACTGTTGGAGGGCCAGATTATAATTTGAAAAAAACAACAACCATGAATTCCTATGCAAACTGCATATAACTTATTTGTAGTGCAAAAAAAAATCACTTAAAAACAATACAATAATTAAAATGGCGACACAGTCATTCACTTTTACTGACAAACCAGAGGTTAAACCAACCCCTTACAAGAGATACAAGAGGACCCATAAATTGGAATAATGAAATGTATGGGGATACAACATGTCTTATGAAAACCTTTCATGTATGGTGTATATATTTAAAATATATATTTAAAAATATATGATTTGTGAGATAATAAAATACCTTGTCAATATTTTTGTCATTATTGAACAGTAATATGGAAATATATGCAAGAATTTTAAAAGTGTATAACATTAATAAAATAACTACTTTTTATCTTATTTAAATGTATGAGGTTGATTGGGTGAACACAGCATTTGAATATTTGGTAGAATTTGGTAGAAGACACTCATATTTCATCATCCACATTTTAAAGCTTCCGCATTTCAGTGGTATTATTTCACACAGATTCAGAGGTTTCTCCTGATGTTCATGCAACACATCTACACACTGCAGCCAACATTTGAACATGTCAGGAGACACAGTTTAGAAAGCTCTGCTGTAAATGCATCCTTCAGAAGAAGCATGGGGATTTATTACACACTAGCACTATCTGGTGGTTCCCCATACTATTATGGCATTCTTCTACATTCATACAGATATTCATTCTTCTATTCATACAAGACGGTAATGATGCTGGTTTAGGAAAAGCATGTCCTCTCAATAGACTTTTGCTACCTGCTCCTTGGGAGTCTGTGCCTTCATGAAACAGACTTTGTATTTCTAGGCACGATGATTACTGCAGATGCAGACTGTGGCCAGGAAATCAGAAGACGTTTCTTTCTTGGGAGGAGAGCAATGACCAATCTCGATAAAATAGTGAAGAGTAGAGACATTACACTGGCAATGAAGATTTTCATACTTAAAGCAATGGTATTTCCTGCAGTAACCTATGGATGTGAGAGCTGGACCATAAGGAAGGCTGAGCAAAGGAAGATGAGGCACTTTTGAACTGTGGTGTTGGAGGAAAATTCTGAGAGTGTCTTGGACTGCGAGAAGATCCAACCAGTCCATACTGCAGGAAATAATGCCCGGCTGCTCTGGAGGGAAGGATATTAGAGGCAAAGATGAAGTTCTTTGGCCACATAATGAGAAGACAGGAAAGCTTGGAGAAGATAATCATGCGGGGGGAATGGAAGGAAAAAAAAAGGGGCCGACCAAGGGCAAGATAGATGGATGGTATCCTTGAAGTGACTGGCTTGACCCTGAAGGAACTGGCGGTGGCTGGCTGACAGGGAACTCTGGCATGGGCTGGTCCATGAGGTCACGAAGAGACAGAAGGAACTGAATGAATAAACAATGCTTTTGAACTGTTTGTCCCTATGGAAGAGGGACAAACTGAGACAGAAGGGCAACTATATATCTCTAAACATTGTCTCTTATAAACATTCACCTGCAACAGTTGCATATATTGTAACAGTCTATCATAGTCATTTGTATCCGTCGGGTCAAGTAAGAAAGTATCGGGCTTTAATTGGATACGTTTCCACAAAATTTTCTGGATCAACATATGGATTTGAACTAGTATTTCTTGGCATAATTGCATGTCCATGACATATGGCAAAGAGACCCCACTTGTCGTTTAACTTTCTAGTGTTGGAAACTTCTTTCAACATTTTAGAAAGTTTTTCAGGAGTCATATACCATAGATACATCAATTCATAGTAATTCACTTTCAAATTAAAACAATGTGGCCCTTAAGTCCACACTTTCTCCCATTGGGGTATATCGCTGACTATCATCACTATATTTATTTATTTATTTAATTTGACTTGTATACCGCTACTCCCAATTTGGCTCTGAGCGGTTTACAGCAGTAGATTAAAACAATACAATTAACTTTAAAATACAATAAAAACAAAAACAGACATAGTCCTGAGTTATTCACCCATCGAAAGCTTGTCAGAAGAGAAAGGTTTTACAGGGTTTCCGAAAAGCAAGTAGGTCTCGGATAGATCGGGTTTCAACTGGCAAGGCATTCCATAAATAAGGGGCCACAATCAAGAAGGCTCTCTGCCTAGTAGAGGACAGATGATAAGTCTGGATGTTGGGGACTTCAAGCAAATTTAGGTCTTTGGACCAAAGTAATCTCTGGGGTTGGTAGGGGGATAAGCAGGCCCTCAGGTACACCAGCCCCAGACCATGTAAGGCCTTAAAGGTTAATACCAGCACCTTGAAAGTAATCCAGTACTCAATCGGTAGCCAGTGCAGCTGTTGTAGAATTGGGTTGATACGACACCTCGCTGGCACCCTGGCGAGAAGATGAGCTGCCGCATTTTGCACCAGTTTCAGTTTCCAGATCTCCCCATCAACTTCCCAAGGCAGGGATGTTGATGGGGAGGAGCAAGAAAAGGCCTCCTCAGCTGGAGAGCCGCAGTTTGAGGATGCTTCCCCAAAGAACATTGTAGGCAGGATTGTTCAATGCAGAAGAGGACAGGGCTGCTACGCTTCAACTGGCATGTGGAAAAAACCATTTCAGCCTCACCTGGGTTTGCAGCTAGACACCTTCACAGGCTTTGTACAGGGGAAGGCCCAGTTTGATTATATAAATCATCCCTTTCGGCTTAAGTGGGTGGGTCCTACAAATCCAACTATTTTGAAATAGATTTAAAAATTAGTGACGTGTCTCAGCCACCAATCAAAATGGAAAATGTGGTCAATGACATTAGGACAAAGAATCAGATACTAGGCTCAAGTGCAAAGACATCTTTGTTGAACACCAAGGTTTGGGTCATCCCTACCATGGAATTTCCCATTTCAAACTCTGGCAGATAGTCTCAAACTGCAGCCTTCCCACTGTTTGGGCCTCCAACTCCCAGAAGCCCCTATTGCCAACTTGTTCAATGGTCAGGAATTCTGGGAGTTGGAGGCCCAAACTACTGGAGGGCTGCACTTTGAGGATGCCTGATGCACAGAAACGAGGGCTGGACAGTGAACAAAATGGAAGAAATCAACTCTTTTGAAATGTGGTGCTGGAGGAGACTTGGGGAGATAATCGAGGGTTAGCACATCATTACATTTATTATTAATAATAATTTTACAAAAGTCAAAACTGTGAATGCAGAGGGATGACTGTACAGGCAGTCACTGAGGTACAAACATCCAACATCCTAATGACTCATAGTTAAGAATGGGGGATGTAACACAGGAAGTGAAAGAAATATACCCCTTGGATGGGAAATTCACTCCTGAAAGAGTTATCATGAGGGAAAGAAGTCTCCACTGAAACTTCATCACCAGTTCTTGTTTCCACAACAAGCCATTTTTTAAAAATCCAATTATTACAGGGACAGAAAATTAGGTGAAATTTTCTGAACAGGGGCACAGACAGCAAAACAAAGGCCACAGTGGTTTTACCCTTCCCTATGGTATACACTATGCTGAGTTTCAGGGAAAAATCTATTTCTGTTTTATTGACTAGTCTATAGCCTTTAACTGTGTGGATAATAATAAATGAGTGGCAAGTTCTTGGTGGTATGGGGATACCAAATTAAGGACCAAGTAGCAACAGACTGGGTCAAGATTGGGAAAGGCATATGGCAGGGTTGTATACTCTCACCCAACCTATTCAACTTGTACGCAGAACATATCATGCGATGTGCAGGTCTTGATGACTGCAAGGCTGGAGTTAAAAATGCTAGAAGAAACATTAACAACCTTAGATATGCAGATGACAGCACTTTGATGGCTGAAAGCGAGGAGAAGCTGAGGAGCCTTAAAACCAAGGTGAAAGAAGAAAGTGCAAAAGCTGGGTTACAGCTAAACATTAAAAACAAAAACAAAACAAGATTATGGCAACCAGACTGGTTGATAACTGGCAAATAGAAGTAGAAAACTTGGAGGCAGTGACTTTGTATTTCTAGGTGCAAATATTACTGC